CCTCAGAACAAAGACCAGAAAGCTGTTAATCCAGAAGATGATTTCCAGCGGGAAATGAGTTTGTATGTTTATTTTCCACTATGGGAGAAGTTGGGAGTCCTTGAGCTAGAGAATAAGGGAGAGAGGGAAGTAGTGAGACTGCACTCTCTGGATCCCCAGGGAGTTAGCACATGTTTGGGAATGGGAAGACTCTTCCCTAGAGGAGGAAGAGCTAAGGGATTCTCCTTAGTTGAGAGAAGAGTTCTCTGGTCTACTAGTCCTGATTTTAAGTCCAATTTATAGGTTATTTTGAAATATTCACTTGTAAAGCTTATGTGTGTGCACATGCAGTTAGTTATTAAAACAAACTTTGTTTATGGGAGGGGGGGCTTCCAGACTGTACTTTGTTTAGTAATTATATAAAAATTCATAATTGACATTAATTTGTGTGTTAATTGGCACCTTTAGAGTGGTCATTCTTTTAAACTGCTAACTTATTTTTAGCAAAATTTCTCTCCTTTAAAATAATGGTGTACAGTGAAATCTTTCTAAGATGCCAAATTAATAAGGTTTTATTCCCACTTTTGTGTGTTTATTCATTTGTTCTTGTTAGTGAAGGTCAGATGTTGAGTGCTTCTCAGCTTGAAAAACTCATGAGAGGCAGTGAGAAGGAATGAAAGCCTTTCTCCCTCATCTCATTTCACGTTTTGCCCGTAATCTCAGCTACCGCCAGGCCCAGGCTGCTGTGCTTGCAGTATTACCCCGCCTCCATCAGCTCAAAGTCCCTACCAAGAGGCCAACCGATTATTTTGCAGAAATGGCTAAGTCCGATCAACAGATGCAAAAGGTAAGAAATGTTTTTTGTCTGGAAAGCCAAGGCTTTGTACTGAAGTATATTCAGCTGGCCTATCTCTTGTAGTGTTTTAGAAAGAACTATAAACCCAATATTGCGGAGCTGGTTGTCAAAGACGTTTATTATCTCTTTCAGAGATTTTCTACTTTAGATTTATGGTTGTTACCACCCATTAGATAAATATAAGAATGACTTTTTCCTAATTTAAATAACTAAGGAGAAAGGAAGTAGTATAAAAATGGTCCTAAAGTTAAGATGGCTTTCATATTTCCTAGTTGCCATGACACGGTGTGCAGAGAACACAGCACAGTTGTTCTGGTGCTTCTATTGCCAGGAAGCAATGCTATCACTTGTAAATACATTTTCTTCTTGGGCCCTCACTTTTCTGTAAAATGACAGATTAATATGTGGCTCAGATACAATATAATTTAGAGTTAGGTGGCACTTGGTCCTCATTTTAACTTTGAAGGGGAGAGAATTACCAACACTGAAGCAAGGTTATATTTAAATAGATCCCCTGGGTATCAAGTTAGATGTTAGGGAACTATTGGTGGTACCCAGAGAAGCTAATCTAGAGACCAGCCCAGACATGTCTCTTGTTTATTTGTAGTGATATCTTATCCTTCAACTGAAATGTGTGTGTTTGATGGAGGAGGGTGGGAATTAGATATCTGCTGGAGTTTTTTTTTTTTTTTTTTTCGAACTTCTAAATATAGAATCATGTTCTTGGCAGTAGGGGTAATTTGATAGTCTTCTTTTCCTATGTGTGGCCTGTTAGAGAAGAGCACTGAGGCTGCATGCAGGCTTAACCTTTGTACAGACAGTGGGCATGGGGAGAAATTGGTTTTCTTTCACGGATGACAACTTTTGGGTAATGGAACAAACAGCACACTGGGAGTAGGAAGTCACTTTTAAGCTCTGGCCCCACCACTGATACTTTTGTGTTCTTGGGCAAAGTGCTCAGCCTTTGGGCCTCCTTGTCTTCATATGTGAAACACGGGTCAGAGTAGATGATTTATAGGTTCCTTGGTATACACTGTTCTCTGTTCTTGTGCACCCTAAGTAGATCTGACAACCTTTTGCATTTTAGATTCGACAGAAGCTGCAGACTAAACAGGCCGCCATGGAGAAGTCTGAAAAAGCTAAACAACTGCGAGCACTTAGGAAATATGGAAAGAAGGTGAGAAAGAAAATGTGTAAGGAATAGAACAAGACCATATTGTATGTGAAATCAGATTGCCAGGGTCTGATTTGGTTCCAGGCCTTGAGGGTGTTTGATCATGTGTTATCTCATAATGGATTGTGTGCAGTGCCAGGACTAGGGTGGTAAGGGCAGGTGAGCTGACAGCTTCTCTGGGCTTTGATCTTCACATCTGAATAGTAATGGGTTGAGTCCAAATCGGTGGTTTCCATACCTGATCTCTCAGCAAAATTACTAGGTGAAAATTTTTGAAACATTTCCATGCTTCAGAGTTTCTGGGAATCTGTATACTTTCTCCCATGCCCCCATCAAAGCTTCTCAGGTGCTTTTGATATGCATCTTGGATGGAACTCACTGACCTTGATTTTCCTGGTCTGAGGGAAGAAAATGGTACACATGTTTTTGACTATGATTATCTGAGTTCTAATGTAAAACAAGATTAGGCTTTCTGTGAAACTGTTCTCTACTTCCTCTTTATTGTATAGTCATGTAAGAAAGATGACAGGTATTATAGTTAAGGTTGTGGGAAGGAATGAGTGAGGAGGATTCACATGAGAGTTAAGGCTTTGTCACAGTATTTTGGACATAACCCTTGTGATCTGGGCATGGAGCCACTTGGGGTAATTTTCGGATAAATCCTCAGCAGAGGAAGAGGAGACTAACATCCTGTCCTCTGCTAAAGATCAGCTGTGGATTTAGTGTTTCTTTGATCTGGAGATGGGTGGTTAACATTATCTCAAACATACTGGCAATGGCTTTATTGAAAGCAAAGCTCAGCTCATCTCACTTTCTAATTTGAAGATACCAGTGCGCAGTGGTTCCCAATGTGAGGTGATTTTGCTTCCAGGGAACATTTGTCACTGTATACACACATCTTTTGGTTGTCATATCTTGGAGTGAAGGGTGCTGCTGGCATCCAGTGGGTAAAAGGCAGGGATGTTGTTAAACATTCTGCGATTCACAGGACAGCCCCTGTGCCAAACAAAGAGTTACCCTGTCTAGAATGTCAGTAGTATTGAGATATAGAAGCCCTGCCTTAAAGTATATTGTCTCCTTTTGTCTTTAAAGCTTTTTTCTTGTTTTCTGGGGAGTTTTTTTTTTTTTTTCTTCTCTTTTTCTTTTAGTGCTTTCATGTCTAGTAACAGTGGGTTGGATATTTAATCTTCCCAAGTATGACCAATGAGAAAAATTGACTGTAGACCTAAACACGATCTGCAGGATTGTGTGAAGAGGTAAGAGTACAGAGAGTGGAGTCAGGCTGCTGGCTTGTGCATCTCTGCTCTGCACATTCTTGCTATGTAACTTGAACAAGTACACCTTCTGTGTTTCAGTTTAATAGATAATAAGAATTTAAAGGTGAACTGAGAATATATAGAGAGCCCTTAGCACATAGATGTTAATGTTAAATGGTAGTGATATTAATCACAGCATGTGGTTGTGTGTTTTCTTATCACATTGAGAGAATGTGGACCCTTGGAGTAATGATTTGAAATGGGTGTAATTGTCCTTGTTTCCATATCACAGGTGCAAACGGAAGTTCTTCAGAAGAGGCAGCAGGAGAAAAAGCATATGATGAATGCCATTAAGAAATATCAGAAAGGTCAGTCAAATATCTCTCTGCTAAGGATGTAGGAGAATGGGGATAGAGCATACCTGAGAGGTAATTTGAACATGGAGTGCTTTGAGTCTTCTTGATTGATGGGTAACAGTTGGACCTAAGTTCTGGGAATGGTATGGAGAGCAAGATGTGCTTCTTAAAATCAGTGTGGAAAATAACACCCTTATTTTGAGTTTTAAACCTTTCTTCTTTCTTAAAACATAATGGTGCTGATCAAAGTGCTTCTTCACTCATAGGCTTCTCTGATAAACTGGATTTCCTTGAGGGTGATCAGAAATCCGTCCCACAGGGCACAAAGGCAGCAGCTAAAGCCCAGCAGATGAAGAAAGGGTAAGAGGTTTTTGGTTTGGTTCTGTGATGTGTAGTGGGTGGGAGGACCTTCATAGGAGTGGCCTCTGAATTGAGAGAATGCAGCTGCAGATTACACCCAACAATTATAGCACCATGTGATGGGTCTTTTTAGCTATATCAGCCTTTGAAGATGAAAATAAGATACTTGGCTTATGTTAAGTGAAAGCTGAAGCATCGTGTGGTTCCCCATCACACAATGTGTTAGTTAAAAGCACACATCTAGGGGTCAGATCTGGATTCTGCTGCTCATTAGGAGGGTAGCTTTGAGGAAGTCACTTGTTAGTTGCCCATTTACTATAATGAAGAAAGGTGTGAGGTTATAGTACTGTGAATATTAAAGGGGAGAATGTTGGCTATTATTCTTCTTAGTCCACCTTTCTGTATACCTGCATACCAGGCCTGATGGGGGAATGATAATTTCCATAAAATACAACAAAAACTATGATAAAGACATTTAGGGAATAGTTTAGAAGCACATTTTAGAAGTTTGTTACATAGCCTGGGCGTGGCTGCCCGGAGAAGGATCCCATCTGAGCCTAGCGTGAGGAGTAAGAATTGACCAGGAGAGTAGGAGAGAGGAAGGAGAAGGAACTCCAGCGAACAGAGGCATAGAGTCATGAGACAGCAGGTTGTGGATGAGGAACAGCCAGCATCTGGCCCCACTGGGAATGCAGTGGGAGGTGAGGAGTGGGGAGGCGGGCTGGGCTGGGCTGGGCTGGGCTGAGCTGAGCTGTTATTCATTGTAGAGGAAGGAGCTTGGGTTTCATCCAGGAGGCAGTGGGGAGACACTCAGAGGCTTTACTGAGAATGATGAGCAGATCATACTCATGTTTGAAAAGATTACAGTGGCATTTGGGTCAGTGATGCTCTTGAGGGAAGTGGGGACATGATTAGGTGTCTATTTCAAAAGTCCAAATGCACAGTTAATAATGCTGTACACATGCAGAGGATAGCGAGGAGAAAACATGTTGAAGAAGCATCTAAGAAGTCACATCAGCATGACTTAGTAACTGAAGTGGGTATTAAGAGTGAGTGTAGAGCTGGGCACGGTGGCGCATGCCTATAATCCCAGTGGCTTGGGAGGCTGAGGCAGGAGGATTGTGAGTTCAAAGCCAGCCTCAGCAAAAGCAAGGCTCTAAGCAACTCGGTGAGACCCTGTCTCTAAATAAAGTTCAAAATAGGGCTGAGAGTGTGGCTCAGTGGTTGAGTTCAATCCCTGGTACCCTTAAAAAAAAAAAAAAAAAGACTGAGTGTCCACTGCCTGGGTGCCTGGGCAGATGGTAGGAGCTCTAGCCCCAAGGTGGAGCACAAGGTGGAGCATTTACATAGGAAGTCTAGGAAGGGAGATGACATATGATTTTGAATAGGCTGAATTTGATGACTTTAAAATTTATTACATTTGGATTTTGACTGCATCTTATATCCTTGAAAGGAATAGTAACAACTGAGGGTGGTTTAGCAAGACTAACTTAAAATAAAAAGCTTTCCAAAGACATATGTCATATACAGATTCTATCCTATGTTTTTTTTTTTTTTTGGTCTTCCTGCTCTGGGGGTTAAAACCATAAATAGATGAGATAATTTATAAAAATGCAGGGCCAAGGATGGAGTTGTGGTGATAGTAGTGCCTGCAGAGCTATACAGAAAGGAACTGGAGAGTATCATATCATCAGGCCATAAGGTCATCAGGGGTTACAGTGCTGCAGTGACCTGTAGGACCCCCTTTCTCCAGGCCCAGTGCCAAGCGACGATACAAAAACCAGAAGTTTGGTTTTGGTGGAAAGAAGAAAGGCTCCAAGTGGAACACTCGTGAGAGCCATGATGATGTATCCAGCTTCCGAGCCAAGACAGCCCATGCCAAGGGCCCCAAGAGGCCTGGAAAGAAAGGAGCAAATGTAAGTGGTGGGGGTATGCAAATCAGGGTAGGCTCCATCTCCTCTTCCCCTAAACCCACTTTCCTCATCTGCCTCTTCTCACCCTGGGGCAGAAGATCAAGTGCTGTGTTGACCAGATATGATTTTTTTTTTTGTGTAGAAGAGACCTGGAAAACGAACGAGAGAGAAGATGAAGAGCAGAACCCGTTGATCAGCCTCTTTATACAAAGAACAAAGCAAAAGGCATGAAGCCTTGGAATTTCAAAGTACATTGGTTTCTTTTTGTTTAAAAAAAAAAAAAAATCAATGAAATGTATACTCTTGGACTGAAAGATTTGGAAGTGACTTTGCATATTAAATAATATTCCTATTTATTAATAATTTAGACTTTGAGCCTTTTTATTACTATAGGTGAAGATTTAAACTCTGCCTCTCTCATTTTCTCTTTCCAGTCCTTCCAAATAATTATATCACAATCACTGGTTGTAAAGGGAGATGCGTTGTGATCACATTCCTGTTTTGGTTGTTCCTTGGTTATCGATCACCTAGACATTTTTCTCCTGCCTAATTTTCCTTCTGTGTCCTTAGTTCTGTCCAGATGCTTTACCATTTTATCCACCTTCTGCTGCAGGTCTGTCAGTTTGTCTCTAAGATCTAGGTTGGCTCCACTACTTCTCAGATCCCACAGTTTCTTAGCTTACACCTCTTTTCATTCTGTATCATTTTCTGGTATCTTAAGAAAAGGAGTATAAGAGGTAAACTTTGTCTCCCCATGTTTCTGAATTACTTCTAATTTAGCTGTTAACACTTTTCCCTTAAAGTGTTGAAGATCCTCTTTGGATCTGGTGTCTCTTATTCTCACTTCCCTCTGGAAGGTTTTCTTCTCCCTGAAAATATGAAGTTTTATGGTAACATGTCTTGCTGTGGGCATATTTTTGTTCTTTGATTAGAGTGTTTAGAACGATTCATATTTTTCCATTCTGCGAAATCCTACTAGGTAACTTCTCTTCTCAAGTAGATGGCCATTTTTCTTTGTTCTGATTCTGGAATTTGTTAGTCAAATGTTGAACCTCTTCTAATTACTTGTAGGTTTGCATTTTGGGTCTAATTTGAAACATTTCTTTCTTTTTGTCTCATCATTTTATTGAATATTTATTTTAGCTTTCCTTTTGCCCCTGAAGGGTTATTCTCCAATTGATTCTTTTTATATCATTTTACATTTCTATAGTTGGAGTACCTTATCATGTCATAAATTATAGGTCAAGTTTTTTTTAAATTTTTTTGTAGTTGTAGATGGATGGGATGCCTGTGTTTATTTTTATGTGGTGCTGAGGATCAAATCCAGTGCCTCACACATGCTAGGCCAGCGCTCTGCCACTGAACTATAGCCTCAACTCTGGTTCAAGTTTTTTATAAAAGTTTTCTTTTGTTCCTTCATTCTATTTCCTTAACCCCCACTTGTGCATTTTGTTTTTCCTTTTTCTTTTTTTTTAAAATTCAATTGTACTTTTATGAGTACCATGGTGTTTCAGTACATGTATACATGGTGTACTGATCAAACCAGAGCAGTTCATGATTTTAATCTCATTATTACATTGTGTATTTGGAGCCTTCAAAGCCCTTCCTAGTTAATCATAAAATAGGTAAGAGGTTATTGTGAACTATAGTCACTACCCAGTGCTGTAGAACACTAGAAATTACTTCTCTCTGCTGTGTTTTTGGTACCATTATTTAACTTCCCTCCAATCTTTGCAGCATGTAGTAATCACTGTTTTATATTTATTTTGATTTTTTATTTTGTATTCATATATGAGAGAACATTCTGTATTTGTCTTCTCTCTTTTGCATGTTGAGCAATAGTGTTATAGAAATTAAAAACTTGGACTATTGGGTTTTGTTGCTTACTTCCTATTTGACCTTTGTCATGTTTTCTGACAAAATGTACAGAATATAGTAACTACCTCTTTGGATTTCTGTCAGTGTTAATATATGTAAAACACCTAGAACATTGTATACCGCATAATTAAGTAATAATCTTGATATCCACTCCTTCCATGCCCAATAATCCTGTTGTTTCCCTTGTTTAGGGTTATTTTCTTGGTGTGGTTTATTAGTTCATTTTGTTGCTATAGCAAAATAACTGAGGCTGGGTTCTTTATAAAGAATAAAAGGTTTACTCAGTTGGATTTAAAGACTGAAAAGTCCAAGATTGGGCAATGACCTTATCTGTACAACCTATGTGGAGGGCCTCAGCTTGTGGAATCATGGTGAGAACGTGTGTGGAAGCGATCACATAACATGATACTAGCCTCAGAAATTCACGTACTATTTTGCTCTTTTATAACAACTTAGTTCTGTGAACTCCTTCAGAACTCCCTTGAGAGGGAAATACTCTACCGAATCCCCTTGCACTGGGTCCCACTTCAAAGAGATCACCACCTTTTTATACTGCCGGAATGGGGACCACCCTCTAGCACGTAATCATTTGGGGGACAAATCACATCCAAATTAGAGCAGGTAGCTTTCCTTGCTGTCTGATGAGCCTTGGTTGTCTGGGTTTGGGAGATGGTCCAGTGTTGACTGGAAGCTATGCAGAAGCTGTATGTAGGTGGGCAGGCCAATTTAGGTGCTGGCCTTACTTTGGGTGGTAAGCTCTTTTACCTGCCTATACCTGTTAGGAAGTCATAATTTATTTTTATGGAAACTAGAAATATCTGAGAAGTATATTCTTGAGCAGATTTTAAAAATATTTTGTGATACCGTCACTGGTACAAAGAACAGTTCTATTTTCATACAATATTGAGTTTCTAGAGCAAAATTAATTTAGTTTTCATAAGCTAATTTCAGCTAGCAAAATTCTGATCACACAGCTCATGTTTTCAGAAGACAAAAGGGAAAAGGGTTAATGTAGAGTAAATTCAAATAGGGAGCCTCAGAAGCAGGTAGACACTTTGAATTATGTGTGGACCCTGTTAAGAGTCTAAAGAAAGGATACAGTATGCACTGGTAAGACCAAAAGTAAGTTATTAGTGCTAAGTAGTTTTAAAGGGCTTGAAAAAACTATTTCCCTGCCGTTTTTCTTTTTTGCCTTTTTAATTTTACAAATGGAATCCCTTGCATTAGTCTCAGAACTGTCCTCTAGAACGCATTGGCACCAGTTCTATATCTTTCCTGCCTACGGAGTAAAGCATGATCAGGATGCAGGCAATATTATCCCTTTGTATTTCTTACTTTAAAGTACAGTCCCATGCATTGAGAGAGAGCAGTCCCTAATGCTGAGTACAGGCTGTTCTTTTCATGATTTAATATCCATGGATTGCAGTTATCCAGGTGCTGTTTAATATCAGCAGTGTCTCAACAAGACTGCTTTTCCTTTACCAAAGTGTATCAACTGAGTAGTGAGTGGCCTAAGGTAGAGACAATCTCTGCTGGCTCTTCAGTCTACAAATCACTACATAAATAACTGATGCACAATAATCAGTGGTTATTCATCATTTCTTTCGAAGTCCATCTGTGATTGGTCACTATGCATCTGTTATTTATTTCATAGACACATGGAGAACAATGTGTATAATTGTGTTTTCTCCTTGTCTCAGCAGTGAACCCACACATATTTTAAAGGAGCAGATGATGGAAAGAGAATTGATCAGCAAAGATGAAGGTGTAGTTGCGCTGGGTTTGTGGCTCAGAGGTAGAGCGCCCGCCTAGCATGTGTGAGGTGCTGGGTTTGATCCTCAGCACCACATAAAATGAAATAAAGACATAGTGTCCACTTATGATTAATAAATAAATAAATATTAAGTAAATAAAAATTTTTTAAAAAAGATGAATGTACAGTCAAGAAATAAAAAATGATCAGGCTTGAAGTGAAATCTGAAAATAACACCACTGCAGTTACCGAAGCAGCAGCTGATACACCAGTGTTGTTCTGCTCTTCTGAAGACTAGATACGCAGCTTGAGAAACTTAGGGAAAGCAATCTACTGATATAAATGGGGAAAGATGAAAAGGGGAAGGTGTTCCCCAAGAGGTGACACTGGCAAAAGCAACTTTTTTTGGCGGGAGTACTGTGGATGGAATTCAGGGGCACTTGACCATTGAGCCACATCCCCAGCCCTATTTTGCATTTTATTTAGAGACAGAGTCTCACTGAGTTGCTTAGCAACTTGCTTTTTGCTGAGGCTGGCCCAGCCTCTCAAGCTGCTGGGATTACAGGTGTGCTCCACTGTGCCTGGCCAAAAGCAACTCTAGGAGACAACATTTCATTCCACGGAAAGCACAAGTGATAAGATGTTGGTACTTAGAAAGGACTAAGATGATTTGCCAAGGCTTAGAAAACATGCTTGGCTGAGGGGTGGAGTTCAGAACTAGAGCTCAAGTTTAGTGTGTGTGAGGCTCTGGGTTCAGTTAAGTGTTAAGTAACTGGGTTCAGTTCCTTGCAGAATTCCAGGAAAAAAAAGATGCTGGGTCTGTATCTAAATTGACTCATAAGGAAAAAAGACAAGGCTCCTCTCTTTTTTAAAAAATTCACCATATTTCTATTTCTATTTTAAATTACAGCTGTTACTATTTTTTCTTATATTTAATAGTAAGAGTATTTAAACTTTGAAAAATCTTTTAAAGGCCACAGAACAATTTAATTTTTTTCTCCAATGCAGAGAGTCCCATTTTGGGGATTCGTCAAGCCTTTTTGAACCTCAAACACCACTCTGAAACTCCAGCTGAAGAGCCTCTTGTAGTTCCACAACATCTGGATCCAATTGGATTTTGGGGAGCATATTCTTTTTTTTTAAAAAAATTATTTTTTAGTTGTAGATGGACACAATAACTTTATTTACTTATCTTTATGTCATGCTGAAGATTGAACCCAGTGCCTCACCTGTATTAGGCAAATGCTCTACCACTGAGCCACAACCCCAGCTCCTGGTGGGGTGTGTGTGTGTGCATTTTCTTACTACGCCACTAGCCCCATATGATGGCATTATTCTTAAGTTCACAATGATGACAAGGTGTGCAGGCCCCTTGTAAGTAGGACAAAATCAGCCTGCAAGGCCCACAAGAAGCTGAGGAAGGCAGCCTGGGCTGGGCCAGCTTCACTTGTCCTGAAGCACACTGAGTTGCCAGGAGGTGCCCTCCGAGGTCAGTGAAGCAACATTTCCACATGCACTTTGCATCCATTGGAGCCAGGCCTCTTTTTAAAGAAAAGAGAAGTGTTAAGTAATATGTGCTCTCTAATTTATTTTCAAGTTGCCTCATTATCTAATGTGGCAATTTCTTTGTTCCCATGGCCTTCCTTTTTCACATCCCACCTTCCTTGGCAAAGATTCTGACATTTACCAAACTCTAACTAGCCTGTCCTGAGCTCCTTTCAACCAGATCTGGCTGT